GTAAGGAGAGACAGGTCCTTGGAGAGGGACATCATGCTTGGGAGGGTGGAGGGACAGCGCAGGAGGGGAAGACCCTCTATGAGGTGGATTGATTCACTGACTGGGGTATTCAGGATGGGTGTGTCAGAGGCAATGCGATTGGCACAGGATAGAGCTGGGTTTAGGGCTGTTGTACATAGGGTCGCTATGAGTCGCAAACCACTCGACGGCACATAACAACCACAACCACCACCACCACAACAACAATAACAACAATTACTTGTTGTGAAACTCACAGTTCATAGAGACTTTGTAAACTTGTCTTCTCCAGTCTTTAAAACTGTTCTCATTGTAGTGAGAGAATTTTACTAGTGAATTGAATTTGCTTTATCAGTCTTAACTCAAGACTGAAATCTTGAAATCATAGTTTAGAGTTTGAGAGGTTTGAGTAGGATTATTGCTGATAATAAAAAATACATTTAAGTATTCACTCTTTACACTTTATGATTCTAAAAGTTGGACATCAAGCTGACTTATATTTTATCTGCCTTGGAAATTTGGGACTTGGGTTGCTCTGGGAGCCTACAAAACTCATCTTCTACCTTTATAAGTGAGACTGTGGTCCTGCCTCCCTAGCAAAACAGGAGAAAGGAAACACTAGAAGCAAGAGTACCACTATTCTCTATCCCACCCTTGGGACTCAGAGTCACAACAATTAAAAAAAAAAACAACAATGAGAACATTTCTTCTGTGTCCCTTTACCTCATCCTCATCCAAGTCATACTTAGTCCTTGAAGCCTTTGTGTAGCCCTTTATTTGCTACACAAAGGGTTAATATAAATTTCATTGTACTTTGTATTCATGTGCGGTAAGCATTGCCTATTAAGTGTGCAGTACATGCTCATAAATGGATGTTAAACAACTGAGCATGTCATTTGATAGGAGGAAACACTGGTTTCTATATTATGCATGTCTATTTTGAATATTGCTGGATTTTTTGTTTATTTATGAACCTCCATTTGAGAGAACACTAGTTAATGTGTCTAATTTTTTTAAATTCAAAAGAATAAGAAGTTAAACATAATTTTTATGTTGATTTTTTTTTAAAAACCTTTGCCTTAGCCATTCTGGACAAAAGAACCAAGAAACAAATCTGTTCTTCCTAGTTGGTAATAGCATTAAAAGGTTGTTGTTTTGTGTTGTTGACTCAGAACCAACTCATAGCTGACCCTTCACTCTAAAAAATTTACCATTTTCATAGACTGTAAACTGCATGGGAGGAGATTGCCCATCTTTCTCCTGTGGAGTAATTAGTGAATTTGAACGGCCTTTCTTTGGACTGGCAGCACAGTTCCTTACATGGTAGGCCACTAGAGTTCTTAATTAAAAGATTAGAAACATCACACATAGTCATATATTTTTATAGCACTAAGAAATTCTGTGTTGTTAGAAGAGAATAAATATGAATTGTCACAGATAGGTGGTGTCACTGAAGGCTTGATATGAAGGATGTCAGAGTAAAGCATTTTTGGATAAAAATTAGAATTTTTACTAATGCACTCTTTTGGTTATTTTCTTTCATAAAAATTCAGATTATGTGTATTCTCTGGGGAGACTCGTGGCTTCTCGTTATGCTGATGGCCTGTTTCCACAGTTTTGCAGAGCAGAAAACGGCCAAGTATACAATGTGAGTATGGGAGTGGACGGTGTGCAGAGTCTCTTGCTACTTAGCAAGTGACGTAGCTGAACTGAGGTCTTATTAGAGCTGGTGGTTTTCTTAGAGGAGTTTGGAGGCCTCATGGGTAAGGAGTTGCACTGCCAAGCCAAAGGCATGTGATTCAAATTCACCAGCTGCTCCACTCGAGTGAGATAAGCGGTCTCCTTCTGTGCATCTTACTGACTCTGCAAACCTGCTGGAGAGTCAGCAATGAGGCAGTTACAAACCTAACAACCCTTACAGTTTGCTTTTGGCAGCATATGACTTTTCTTGTCATTTGTTGTGAACCATTGAGTTAGAACTGCTTCAAAGCTGCCATTCCAGCTAGAAGTGTCAGTAGAGTGATGAAAATCACTACCTTCAAGGTTAGGACATAAAGCTTTTGAACAGAGATGAAAATATTTGCAAATTAAAATATTGCTTTGTTTGAAAATGAAGCAGAAAGAAATATGATAGAGGTTAGTTGGAAGACAAGGGCAACTTGCTATTACTTGGCAGAGCACTAGGCATCGAGAAGAGTTTTTGCAGGTGAAAGAGAGGGAGTGGCACTTCTTACTGGTGTCCTTCATTCTCCAGAATTGGGCTCCAGTCATGCCAGGCTCTGTGCAGGTACTGGAAAGGCAAAGGTCAAGGACACTGGTCCCTTTCTGTGGAGTTTACAGACTGTGGGAGACACATGTACTGTTAAGAATTTAATTATATACCATTTCATCTCTCCACACATCCTAATCCTTTATAATTAGGATTATACATCCATTTTTTGAATGGAGGTTGTTTTTATTTTAATTTTGATGATGCAGTATTACAGTAGGGTGAGTATTGTCCATCCTTTTGAGACTTGAAACGAGGAGATTAAGGGAACAGAGATTGGGTAGGTAGATGCCCACATGAAAATCACCAGGGAGGCAAGGAATTCCAATTGAAAAGAGACAAGAACCTTTTCTTCCTTGGAGAGAGAGAGTGCCTTTTCTAGAGATGACCTTTAGTCTCCAAGATACAAGAACCTGCATTATGCAGACGACACGACCTTGCTTGCTGAAAGTGAGGAGGACTTGAAGCCCTTGTTGGAGAAGATCAAAGAATACGGCCTTTAGTATGAATTGCATCTCAATGTAAAAAAAACACCCCCCCCAAAAAAAAACACAACAAAAAATTCTAACCACTGGAATGATAAGCAACTTCGTGATAGATGGAGAAAAGATTGAAACTGTCAACAGCTTCATCTTACTTGGATCCATAATGAACACCCTTGGTATCAGCAGACAGGAAAACAGGAAACAATGCATTGGGGAAGTCTGTGAGGGACCTCTTCAAATTATTGAGGAGCAGTGATGGCAGTTTGAGGACTAAAGTGCATGTGATTCAGGCCATGGTCTTTCTAATCACTTACTTTGAATGTGAGAGCTGGACAATGAATAAGGATGGTAGAAGAAGAATTTTTGCCTTTGAGCTGTGGTGTTGGAGAAGAGTACTGCATATCCCACAGACAACCAAGAGAGTAAACAGATATGTCTTGGGAAGGGTGCATCCAGAGTGCACTTTGCGGGCAAAAATATTCAAGCTTCATCTCACATATTTTGAGCATGTTGCTAAGAGAAGCTATTGCTTGGAGGAGGACATCATGATTGGGTAGGTGGAAGGATGGCAAAGGAGAAATAAACACTCAGCTAGGTGGATTGACACAGTGACTACCGTAATGGGCTTTAAAGTATCAGGAAGTGTGAGGATTTCCCAGGATAGGACAGATTTCCGATCTGTTGATCATAGGGTTTCTATGGGTTGTACTCAATGGCATCTGACAACATCAACAAAGAACAAGAGACTATATTTGTTCCTTAAAGGCATCCGCTTCCTTCTTTTAAGGAGTGGGAGTAGTATTTTAACAAAAGTTAAAATTAAAATATTCTAACAGCATAATAGTTTTCACAATACCATGTATGATATACTTAATAAATATTACCCAAGGTATTCTCAGTCACCTACAGTGCGTCTGAGAGCTGGATAATGAATAGGATGACAGAAGAAGAATTGAAGCCTTTGAGCTGTGGTGCTGGCGAAGTGTACTACTGAATATCCCATGGACTGCCAAAAGAACAACAGACATGTCTTGGAGAGGGTGCAACCTTGTTTTTGTTTTACTTTGGACATGTGGCTTGGTGAGGCTTTTCCTTGGAAAGGGACAACATGCTTGGAAAGATGGAGGGTCAGTGAAGGAGAGGAAGTCCCCCAGTGAGATCAGGAGATCTCATGGTGACTCCAGCAGTGGACTTGAGTGTGTTGGAGAAGATGAGGATTGCACACGACAGGACAGGGTTCAGATTGTCTGTCACAGAGTTGCTATGAGTCACGCTGGACTTGATAATACCTAACAACTACACTGAAAGACATAAGATAAAATTTTCTCCTGAGCTAAATTTATAGAATTCGGAACTTTAGTTTTCCTTTCTTTGAAACACGTTTTTTAAGACCCACTTATGTGAACTATATAGAACAACCAGAATTTTACTGTGTAGAAGGTAATGAGATAAAGGGAGCATTGAAGTCCTGGTCATAATTGCAGAAAAATTTAGAAACTGGTAATGAAATTTAAATAATCAATGCTATTATAAATGAAAAATAGCATTTTTTTGGTAATAGGTACTTTTTAGATGATATAAAAGAACTAGACTGCAAGATATATTTATGATATCACAGTAGATGGTCCCTCCTGAGACTATATTTTACATTCTAGAAGGTTTGGTTTCTAGATTTCTGACTTAATAGTGATCAAGGAACATGAAGCAAAAGCACTCTTTCCTACCTCCAAAAGTGACCCACTTTAAAAATATCTATTATAGCAGTACTAGAAAACTAAGCATGCCCTGTCATGTTGCTTAATGAGCGAAGACCTAATGAGTTGTGGGAGGATGTCAAATGTATCATCTAGGAAGAGTGCAAATGGTCATTACAAAGACAGAAGAGGAAGAAAAGACCAAAATGGATGTCAGAAGAGACTCTGAAGATTGCATGGGAGCATAGAGAAGTCAAAGCACAAGGAAGAATTCAAGATACTAAAGAGCTGAAAAGAAGATTCCAAAAGGCAGCACAGAATGACAAAGCAAACTATTACGATGAAATGTGCGAGGAGCTAGAGTCAGAAAATCAGAAGGGCCGACTCGTTCAACATTTCTTAAGCTCAAGGAACTGAAGAACAAATTCAAACCTATAGTTGCTATAATCAAGGATGCTTTAGGCAGAATAGTAAATGATCCAGGAGGTATTAAAAGAAAATGGAATGAATATACAAAGTCATTGTATCGAACGGAATTGGCAGATACAGAAGAATTTAATGAAATAACATTTGAGCAAGAGCCTATGGCGATGAAGGAAGAAGTTCAAGCTGCTTTGAAGGAAAAAATAAGGCTCCAGGAATAGATGGTATACCATTTCACATATTTCAGCTAACAGATGCTGGCCTGGATGTGCTCACCAAGTAGTGAGAAGAAATCTGGAGAACAACCACTTGGCCATCTGGCTGCAAGAGATCTATATTTGTTCCCATTCCAAAGAAGGGTGACCTGAGTGTGGAAACTACAGAACAATATCATTGATTTCACATGCAAGCAAGATTCTACTGAAGATTATACAAAAATGACTGGAACAGCACATCAACAGAGAACTACCAGGCTGGGTTTAGAAGGGGTCGTGGTACTAGGGATATTGTAGCTGATGTTAGATGGATCTTAGCTGAAAGCAGGGAATACCAGA